CTTATTTTGGATTGGGGCCAAGTTGTTAAGTTGCTTTGGCTGGCCCAAAAAAGCAAACGGCGGGGCAGGTTGGCCAAATTCAATTTGCCAAATGAAATTTCCAGATACAGGTCCAAAAGCATCAAAAGACCGAGTATTAAAGGCAGCTCTGGCTGAGCATGCACCGACTACATAGATACTCCATAAGAGATTAACTTTTGGCAGAGATTAACCATTTCGTTGTGCTGCAGAAAGATCTTGCTGCTGAAGAATAGCCGAGCAAGTCTGATGCAATTATGTTTATAGAAGATATAGAGTGCGATCATCTTGCCCACTAGCCTAGAGGGAGTACGGAGGCAGAGTATCTCTTGGAAATATTATACTCAGCCACATGTTCAGCACTTCAACAAGGTGTAAGAGAGCATTAGCAGTGACGTCAGCAGCCAGCTTAAGCTAACTCACACGCTTTCTCAATTTACAGGGTATATATAGATATTCCTATATACAAGAGTATTAACAACGACGTCAGCAATGCAGACAGCGTCGTGTGTTCTCCTTGGCTGCGTCGTCCAACGTCTGCCGTCTATTTTGGTCGCCTGACTCGACGGGAATTACTAATTTGGATGTTATGCTCCCGGATTTGTTGCTGCATTACATGCTAATTATACAAAAATAGAACACGTGAGCCCGTCGTCAGGCCATCTTCGCGATGGGGAGGTGCTCAGGAGGTGGAGGGCGTCACTGGGACTCGCCCTTCTCCGAGGGGGTGTCAACTGTTGCATGTCGTCGCCTGCTTAGAATGGGGGAGCCGAAAAAGTTTTGCGCGCCTCGTGTCGCATCAGTCAACCACGCAGCTTCAAGATTGATGCGACGCCACCTGAAGACAACTCACGAGGAGCAGGGCGGCGTGCAAGAGAGCGGCAGTGGGTGCCCCAACTCACAGACAGGAAGAGAGCAACAGCTGCCGGAACGAAACTATTTGGGTCAAACTTGGAAGCAGGGAGATGCACAACTGAAATGCCCAACCGAGCGCGGTGTGAATCGCCATGGAGCATAGCTAATGCCCCAGACTGAGCGGGACACAGAAAGAGCGAGATAAAGAGAGACAGAGAGAGAGAGAGAGAGAGAGAGAGAGAGAGAGAGAGAGAGCTGTCAGAGAAATTAATAAAATTTTGCGAGCAATTGCAAAAAATTAGCCATGGCCGATGATTGTTGATGTTGCAATCATTAATAATGTAGCCCCGAGGGGTGGGGACTCGCTGCACGGGGGTAGCGGCGGGCTGTGGGGCGTAGTCGACATGATTAATGTTTGGTTTGTGTGCGTGGCATATCTATAAGGCAAGGTAATCACGAGCAATGCGCGCGTCTGTTATTATTGTGAGTTGAGAGACTCTAATTGCAAGTCGAGTCGTACACAAATTATTTATGTATGCTTGGCTGATTGATAAAGATTGATTATCGATTGACATTGATCGCAGTCGCAGCCGAAACTATTCTTGCTTGGAGTCAAGAAGTTGAGGTCACAGCTAAAGTGTGTGAAAATCATAATTGTCATCGAGTAAAATGTTTACAAAACACTATTCTATACTGATTGATAATGATTGATTATGTATCGACATTGATTGCAAAGCTAGGATTTACGGGTCGAAAACTATGGGTCTATTGTTAGCTATGTGGTTGGGGTCTAGATACATTGCAATCAGCTAAATGTTGAAAATTTCTAATGATTGATAGTGATTGATCTCGGAAACTGTAGTTTTGCTATTACGCATCTTGATTCAAAGGTAAACTTTAATGAAGACCGACAGCGCCTCGAGAAACATGCAAACTAAATTGTGAACAAACTTTATGATTGAAATTTTAGTTTGCATTTTGGATAACTGACAGGAAACTTAAATAAACTCAATTCCATGATTGAAAGTGATTGATTGACATTGCAGCTAGTAGAACAATCTTGAAATTAAACTAAATTCCTTGGCAGTGATTGACTAATATTCAATTAGGTTGCCGCTATTAATTATAGAGGATTATTTCATTTGTTTTGATTAAACCAAAACGTGTTAATTAATTATATGCCAAATCATTTGAGCCAAAATGGCAATGAATATTTTCGATAACCGTCAAAATTGGAATTTATGAAAACTAAATGAGTTTTAACAATTTCATATTAGGAGCATGTTTTAACTGTGCCAGCCCCTATATAGTAAGTAAAGACATCTGTATATATATATTTAGTCAATTATGATTTCAACTTGAAGCCAAATGCATTTTCGTTCGTCAAATTGCATTTGTTGCATTTAAGAAGCTTTATATAATTTATTTTTTAGGCCTTTTGCTGTGGTAACAGTATAAGCCACCCGCCAATCCGCCAATTCGCCGGTCCGCCGGTCCAACCGTCCACCTGTCAACTGACAATCAAAAATGTCAGACGCGCAACCAGCTACAGGCCGAGCTGAGCTGCGAGTGGAGTGGATTGCATTGCAGCTGAAACTTAAACTAAAACTCAAACTTAGCAGAGGTTGAGAGGCGACAGAGTGGGGCCAGAGTGGGGCATGAGTGGGGTCTAAGTGGTGCAGAGAGGGGAGTCGTCGCTGCTGCTGTGTAATCCGTCATTTGTTCGCATTCCATTCAAGGCTGCCTGGCCAGATCCGCCTCAGTGGGTCTCAGTCAGTCAAGCCACTGTGGCAGTCTGTCTCGCTCTAAACACGATCTCTCTAGCCCCCTCTCTCTCTCACTCTCTGTTGCACCTGGACAGCTGGCTGGTTGGCTGGTTGGCTTAGCGGCCATTTGGCAAATTGCAACTTTTCGATAAATTCGAATCATTTGTCATTGACACAAATAGCTTTCAAATTGCATACACAGCTAGGCACGAGACAGTCAGGGTGTGCGAGTGTGTGTGTGTATATATGTGCCGGGGAGCAAGTTGTGCAGCAACTGCTGCAATCGACGTTCTCAACGGAAATTCCCAAATACAGCCAAACAGACAAACAAACACAAAACAGAGCTCAGATACACAGCCAGAGATCTGAGCCCAGCTCTCGCTCGCTGCTTTAAATGCTCTATCTGGTGTAGGATATATTCAATACGGATACGAAGGAAGGTCTCTGCAAAGTGCAGAAACTAAATCAATTGATAACAGAATTACAAATTAAAGCTGAAATTGAAATTTGTATTTGTAGCATTCAAAATATATTTGAAAACAATAAAAAACAACAAAAATTGTATAAAATTTATTCAAAATTATTGTTAAAGAAATTATATTAACTAAATGAATAATATATCCGAAGTACGCTAAACGAATATTAATAATTATTTACTATTATTTCTTTCCCTTTGTTTTGTCATTCCAAAAAATATGAACAATAATTTGAAGTAAATTTATATTTTCAGACGATTTTAAAATATAGTATGAAATTCATATAAATGACATTATAGCTGCGATTCCTGGCCAATTATCGTTCCACAGGATAGAGCATTTACAGGCGGCTTGAACGTTATGCTGATTTTTATACCCTGAACCCATTTTCAATGGGAAATCAGGGTATAATGGTTTTGTTGAAATGTATGTAACAGGGAGAAGGAGGCGTGGCAGACCCCACAAAGTATATATATTCTTGATCAGGGTGACGAGCTGAGTTGATTTGGCCCTGTCCGTCTGTCTGTCTGTATGCCTGTGTGTGCGTACGTGCCTGTGTGTGTGTGTGTGCGTGTTTCTTGTGTACGCTGAAAGACGCGAAAAATTATTGAAATATCTATTGCTCCAAGGGTTCAGGGGATCTCGTAGTCGAGCAGTCTCGACTAGAGCTTTCTTACTTGTTTTCGATCAGTTTGTTGTTATCGCCGCTGGTGGGGCATGCCCCACGTCGCCATCGTGTTGTTGGCGATTTCAAGCTGCGTCCCAGCGGTGAACAATCGCTTAACAACATWGCTGTTGCCATCTCGCTCGCTCGCGCTCACAATGACCCAGTTTCCAGGCGGAATGTAAACAAATTTGACCTGAAAAAGCGTTAGCTTGTTGTTGTTACTGTTGTTGTTGTTGTTGCTGTTATTTTGTAAACAAAACGCAAAAGTGACTGAGACTGAGACGCCAGCAGAGACAGCAGCGACAGCAGCGACTCACTGAAGTGCTGTGTGTTTGTGTGTGTGTGTGAATGTGAGTCGCGTTTTCATTTTGGCCTTTGATGCCAGCAACAACAACAGCGACAAATTTTGCACTAACAAAGTCATTTTTGCCCAATGGGAAATAGTTGCGGTCTGCTCTGAGCGAGAAAGAGAGAGAGAGAGAGAGAGAGAGAGAGAGAGATGGAGGGCGATACAAATATATAGAAAGAGTGAGATAGGTAGTTTTAGAGAGAGATAGGAAGAGAGAGAGAGAGAGAGTGAAAGGAAAACAGTAGTTGTTACTGTTATTCTTTTTTTTTTTTGCGTGTTGCCTTGGTTGCATGAACAAGTCGCAAGCAGCTGCCACACAGAGATACAAACAATCATTGCACCGCAGCTGAAGTGCCGAAAGAAAACAAAGCTTGCAAAAATAAATATAAATAATCAAGAGAGCTAAAGACAACAATGGATCATTAACATTCACAATGCTTCATACACTCATGTACAAGAAAAGCCTAGGACACCTTTCGAATTAGCCTGGGGATTATAAATGCGCCAGCCACGCCTACTGCGCCTTAATGGCAAGCTATTTTAAGTTGGCTTAGGCAAAATTCGAATTTTTGAAAGGTTTTCAACCTACCAATGGGTTTGCCGATAGGTGGAGCTTTTATGAAGTCATTTTCAATATTCCTTGAGAATTGAATTCAAGTAAATAGTTGATTTTAATAAAAGTTATAATCCTCAATATACACATTGGTAGGTATCAATGCTTCAACAACCAAATGATAGTTCCACTCTGATCCTTATTGATTGATCTATTGATTAGAGCACATACATATTTTATTACATAGAGTCTGAAAGAAAAGGAGAAAAAAAGCAATTTAGTCAGTATATAAGACATTGGTGGTGGCTAATTTATAATCTGGTAGCAGGTGCCCAGACTCGATTCCCAACTTGGCCCCTTTGAGCATTCCCTTGCTGGCAGAGTCAGTTATTGTAGACATAAATATCTTAGCATGCAAATACACTCACAGAATGAATCATTTTGTTACCATATAAATGGTGATGACCAAACCAATCTGTCTCTGGATGCAAGACGGTCGCAGTGGCGGAGCTCCATTGAAGTTTCTGAGCTCATGTCGTATCCAAGGGTAAAAATCCCGAATACTTGTGTATGCGGTCGGACCACCCACAAGCCTTCCCACAGAGACGATACCCGACAATTCATTGTCGCACTTTAACGGGCCACCCGAATCACCATAGCTGGGCCCAGTAGTGGACGCATCGCCGGCGCAAATTACTTTAGGTATACGATAGAGCTTCCTACAGATTCTAGGGCTGACAATCTGTATCCATTGCGCCCTCAGATCATTCGTGGGAGCTGGCACAAACTTAAGTGAAGGGGGGATTTGCACTCGATTAGTATAATTATCGATGGTTAAGCAAAAGAATCAAATTTCGTGATTTACGTGATTGGACCGACCCCAGCCGGATGCAAGACATCTGGTACCCGCGTCCACTTCCCTCGTGTTTAGGGGCAAAATTTCAATAGCCCCACTAATGGGTTCTATATACTCGACAGTAAAGATCAATGCAATATCGTTGAATGGCTTAGTATATTTTTGGTGAATACGCCAAGATAAGATTTCCAGCTCCTTCGTTGTTGCAGATCTGTCGTCTAGAAAAGTGTTCCCTACTACAACTACTACTTCTTTCTGCCTGCAAAAAAAAAAATAAATAAAATAAAAGAATAACAGCCAAAAGATTCGTTCGCGTGTACCTCCCCCTTAAGCAATGAGCTGCAGTGATAATCGCACGATTGCTAACAATAGTTCCACCGCAATAATGGCCGCTGCCCCATCGTCTTCTCTCTCTAGCGGCATAGCGCAGTGAGACCTGATAGGGAGTCTCCTTAATGTCGCAAGAAAACCCGTTAATGATTTTGACAGTATCATTGCCTAAAGCTTGAAAAATAAGCAAAAGTCATCAAATTACACAAGATCAATACTATAGTATGCATTTCTGAAAGTAATTGCTGTTTACATGCTATATTTTACGGGATCGATCAGAATGGGATGATCAGATACAGTAAATAAAATATATATGAAATCATTTCATATTTGTATAGACATTTAGATATCAGCAACGTATATTGAATACATAACATATAATAAATACGATGCAACTGTTGCTTACCAGCATTCACCGATGTCAATGGATAAAATAAGACTATATGAATCATCAACATTAGCATTAGAGACATAATACTTGTTTTCTAAAATTCAGACAAAGAAAATTTGGAATTTTAAAAATCTCGAAATTTTAGTTTGTTATTGAACGAAACTCATAAACCTACTGATTTATAAGTCATTGTAAGTAACTCGGCTTAGTTTGAGTCTAAAATCCCGACTTGCATATGGTGGCCACACAAATGCTGATGGCCAAAACAACGTGCTTCCCAACGCAAAACGAGCCAAGTGGCATTA